AAAAAAAAAAAAAAAAAGATTTCTAAGAAGGGGCGCCTGGGTGGCTCAGTAAGTTAAGCATCTGACTCCTGGTTTTGGCTCAGGTCATGAGCTCACGGTTTCATGGGTTTGAGCCCCACATTGAGCTCCTCTGTGCTGATGGTGCAGAGCCTATTTGGGATTCTCTGTCTCCTTCTCTCTCTGCCCTTCTCCCACTCACACTGTCTCTGTCTCAAAATAAATAAACCTAAAAAAAATATATAATAAATAAATAAAAATGTAAAATATCTGATTAAGTTTTGTATTGTATGTTTAAAGTAATGTTTTAGATGTATTGGGTTAAATGAAATATTTAACTATAACTTCTAAAAAAATTTTAGAAGTTTTAGAAAATTTAAAATTATATGTGTAGATCACACTATATTTTGTTGTTCAATGATACTCTGTGCATTGGTTCCAAAATTATCTCTGGATCTCTAGTTCTCTCAAATATTGTTCCAAAGCATTCTAAATGCAATGAGAAACCAGAACCCTTATAAAGGAATTTATATTTTGGAAAGAGAATACTTACTAATTTAAATAATTCTGTAATTATTTAGTAATTATTTTTTAGTAAAAATTTTTATTAAGGTTGCTACTCTTGGGGCACTTGGGTGGCTCAGTTGGTTAAGTGTCTGACTCTTGATTTCGGCTCAGGTCATGATCTCATGGTTCATGAGATCAAGCCATGTGTCAGGCTCAGTGCTGGCAGTGAGGAGCCTGCTTGGGATTCTCTCTCTCCCTCTTCCTCTCTCTCTCTCTCTCTCTCTCTCTCTCTCTCAAAATAAATTAACTTAAAAAAAAAAAAAGATTGATACTCTTTAGACAAGCCTGACCCATCACCGTGTTTTTTCCGGGGTTACTTCCTAGAAGGTGTTGATGGCTTCTCCTTTGCTTCTGAAAAGCAAAAGTTACTGCGCTTTGGTGATGGGGCAGATTAGGTGTTCATAAGTTGTGTAGATTGGGTGTTTATAAATTGGGACTGCCTTAATGGAAAATAACAGCTATACCATAATATAGTATTGCTTTGAATACTACAGCAATGACTAATAAAGCTTATCGTCATTCCTTCTGTAACAATAAGAGCAGCAGGTCTTTTGATTTATCAGGGATTGCCAAAAAAAGCACATCTTTTAGGAGCTACTTGCAGTAAAGTGGAGTTGGAAGCATGGTAGTTTTTGGCTTGTTGTTAAGGTTCTGAATGTACATAGAAATTATTTCCCCCTTGGGGCGCCTGGGTGGCTCAATTAAGCGTCCGACTTTAGCTCAGGTCATGATCTCTCTGTGAATTGAAAGCCCCGTTTCGGGCTCTGTGCTGACAGCTCAGAGCCTGGAGCCTGCTTTGGATTCTGTCTCCCCCTCTCTCTCTGCCCCTCCCCCATTCGCATTCTCTCAAAAATGAATAAACATTAAAAAAAAAGTTATTTCCCCCTTATTGCTTGACTTATAGCTGAAAATTACTTCAGGATCATTTCTCTCATTATGATTGCTGCTTTAAATGGTAAGAACAAAAGAGAAAAATTGCTGTTCTGAACATGAGGATTTCACTTCTGCAGTTGTTTTGTATAATGGGCATCAACTTTACATTAAAAAACATTAAACAGGGGCGCCTGGGTGGCGCAGTCGGTTAAGCGTCCGACTTCAGCCAGGTCACGATCTCGCGGTCCGTGAGTTCGAGCCCCGCGTCGGGCTCTGGGCTGATGGCTCAGAGCCTGGAGCATGTTTCTGATTCTGTGTCTCCCTCTCTCTCTGCCCCTCCCCCGTTCATGCTCTGTCTCTCTCTGTCCCAAAAAAATAAATAAAAATAAACGTTAAAAAAAAAATTAAAAAAAAAAACATTAAACAGATTGAATTGTGATATTGTATTTTAACCAATTAATGCTACAGTCATAACACTGAGAATTTCCAGATATTTTTATAGAATTTCTGCCCTCTGACTAACTCATCAGTAGGGAAGGGATCTGACACTGTCACTTCATTGATTGCCAGGCACTTGGTTTGTCATCCTATTCACAAGGTATCAGTTACGAATTTTTGTTCTGCCATTTTGAAATTATGCTGTCTCCCTTCTGACTAGCAGGACTAACATTATAATGATCAGTTCAGATGATGATACGCTAGTCTGATATTTGATTATTATATGGTGTTTTTTTTCCATTCTTTTACTTTTCATTTATCTGTGTCTGCATATTTAAAGTTAGGTGTCTTGGAGCACCTGGCTAAGTTGGAAGAGCATGCAACTCTTGATCTTGGGGTTGTAAGTTCGAACCCTGTGCTGGCTATAGAGATTATTTTAAAGAAAATAAAACGTAAAAAAAGTAGGTTTCTTGTTAAGCAGCATATTGTTGGGTCTGGCTTTTTTTTTTTTTTTTTTTTTTTTTTTTTTTTTTTTTTAAGCCCAATTGACCAATCTTTGTCTTGGTATGTTTAGACCAACAAACCTTTTTTTTCCCTGTATATAAAGAACCAGATAGTAAATGTTTTATTTGTCTTTGCAGGCCACACTGATATATCATGCACCCATTCAGCTCTGCCATTGCAGTATGAAAACAGACTTTGGCAATATGCAGATGTCACTTGTGTCTGTGTTTCAAGGAAACTTTATTGACAAAAATAGGCACTGAACCAGTTTTGGCTCTCATTTGCCACCCTGGTTTAGATCTTTTATACTTAGTATAATCACGCCTGCCATTGGATGAGAATCTGCCATTGGTTGTTTTGTATTTGTTTTATCTGTTCATTATTGGTTTTTTTTTTCTCTGCTTTCTTTTGAATTAGTTATTTTTCTGTGATTCTATTTTGTCTCTACTGTTGGTTTATTTTTTGCCTCTTAAATAGTTTTGTTGTGGTTGCCCTAGGATTTATAATATGGGTCTTCAGTTCATTATCTACCCTCAAATATTATTGTACCACTTTATGTATTACGTATGAACCTTATAACAGTGTCCGTTTCCCATCGCCTGCCCCTTTGTGCTGTTGTTGCCATACATTCAACTTTTACATTATTTTATTCCAGATTCCACTGGAGATGGACTTTGCAAACTTTAGTTTTTAAATCATTCCTTAACAACTCTCATTGTTAAGATTTGTCATAGTAAGTTATTAGAGTCAAGTTTGTACTGACTCACAGGAGTTAGAGAGGAGCAGTAAGTAAAAAGCATTCCCTAACAATTGAGTGCTAGAAGAGACCCTCAGACCACTGCAGAATAACATTTCATCCAATTCAGAATTTTTCTTTAATAATTTATAATTTAATTACTCTTACTTGAAAATCTAATTTTGTTTTCTCCATGTTCTATATAATGAACATTGGAACCAGATATTCTGTTTTTATCTGACAGACTGAAGATTTCTGCTAGTTCTTACATTCTGGATTCTTGGGTTTGTATTTCAGCTTTGAGTTTTTTAAGCCAAAGAGTAATTGGCAACTTTGATTCTTTATGATTTCTAGGTATATAGATAAAGCCAGTAATCTCTCCTGTTGTATTATGTTAGTGTGCCTGGTTTTTTGGTTTTTGATTTTTGGTTGTTTTTTTTTTTTTTTTTTTTTTTTTTTTTTTTTTAGATAAAAGCTTTCTTTCTTAAGACATATTGTATAAGTATATATTCACTCTTTATAATAAGCTGGTTTTCCTTCAAGAAACTTTTTTTTTCTATTGTAGTACTTGTGTGGTAGTAATCGAAAAGACAACATATTCATTGATCCAGGATACCAGACATTTGAGCAAGAATTGAATAAAATACTTCGAAGTTGGCAACCAAGTATACTTCCAGATGGTAATGCTCGCTTGCTGTCTCTCTTATATATATAAGAGATACATATGTATCTTTACATATATACATATGTATATATGTAAAATTTTTCAGGATTGAGAGTTTTTAATGTAACTTCTGTACTATTGTATCTGTCTCCTATGAGTATTCTGGTTCTTGAGGTAATCCTCTCTTAAAAAAAAGTGTTGCTGACTTGCTACTAGGATTTTTATTTTTACAGAAAGTATGTTAAAAATAATTATGAAATAATTTAAATTAGTGTATTTTTCAGAGTACTTATTCATGAACTCATCTGTTCATCTTTTGTTGAATTAGAAATGAATGTAGTTGATAACTAGTGTTTATAAAGAACTTTGTAATAAATGTGACCTGCTTTCTCTGCAGTAAGAAACTGGGTGTGTATTCTTAAGCCCTGCTGTGGATATTGTGATACAAATTTCTCTAAGAAATCTGTTTTAGATGTGTGAAGAAAATGTGTTTGTGAATGGAAATCACCTATTTTTTTCCCCCAGCAATCATGCAGATTTAAATTCCTTTCTGACCGTTGTGTGCTTGTCCTATAGAAGACCAGAAGCAAACATCTAGTCTCTTATTCCAGAGATGCTAGCACCACAGTCTTGTGTATTCCCTAGCTTCTTTTGTCATAGAGCTGCATAGGTAATTCTGAAAGTGTGTTTTGACCTGGTGTGAATGGAGGATTAAAATAGGTTTGTTCTTGAATTAACTTTATTTTTTTTTTAGATGGTTAAATGATCATTATTTTATTTGTTGTAATTTTTAAAAAATATTTCTGTTTAAGGGTCAATATTTTCTCGAGTCGAAGAAGATTATCTCTGGAGGATAAAACAACTGGGATCACACTCTCCAGTAGCTCTTCTGAATACCCTGTTCTACTTTAACACTAAGTATTTTGGTCTGAAAACAGTGGAACAACACTTAAGACTTTCCTTTGGCACTGTGTTTAGGCACTGGAAAAAAAATCCTTTAACAATGGAAAACAAAGCATGTCTTCGATACCAAGTGTCTTCCTTATGTGGAACAGATAATGAAGGTAGTGTAACATATTTTTATTTTTGTATTGTCTGTGGCAGGGATGGCCAAACTTTGCCTTAGTAAAGACCACCTGGGTCACTTGTTAAGACTCTAAGGACTGCCATTTTCATAAAGACAACCTATATCTTCTTAAGACATCTTAGTTCATTTTGTTTGAAAAAGCCATATATTTGGTATAACAGATACAAGGAGTGAATAGTACTATTCTTTCTTCAAGATTAGTCTCAGGAAGTTCATGTAATTTTTATTTTTTAAGATAAAATTACTACTGGAAAAAGAAAACATGAAGATGATGAGCCAGTATTTGAACAAATTGAAAATACAGCCAATCCTTCTAGATGTCCTGTGAAAATGTTTGAATGCTACTTGTCTAAAAGGTAAGTGTTAATGATATTTAACTTTTTAAATGGTAGTATAGGTTAGTTTCCTTGAATTTAACACTACCAAGAGGTGACATTTTTCACTGATCTTTCTTAGATTTTTCTCTCACTTCTCACTCACATCTAATGTTTGTAAGTCTCATTATTGTAAAATACCTAGCTTATACTTCATACTTTAAGGTTCAAGCATATGTTAAGAAATTGTTGTTTAGTGAAGTTGCTACTATTATTGTCATCTTTTAAATTACAGCAATTCCAATAATAAAGCATAGGACACAAACTTTTTTTTGTAAAGGGTCAGATAGTAAATATTTTAGGCTTTTTAGGCTATAGAGTCTCTATTGAAGTTAATCCATTCTGTTGTTATAGCCAGAAACCAGCCATATACTATTATAAATAAATGGCCCTATAGTATTTTTATAGTACTTGTAGTATACAGTTTTATTGTGTTCTAAAACCTGAGACAAACAAGTGATGGGCTATAGTTTGCCCACCCCCTGGTGAAAAGGTATGTTCAAAGGTAGAATAGATAGATGGAGATGAAAATGAAATCTTTACATGTAAGAGAAAATGTTCCTTTAAGAAGGTCTTACATAGTGTTCTGAAAGTACTATACTTTTCAACTATACCACCACTTTGTTCCCTCAATCTAATACCAACAGGCATTTTAGAAAATGTTAAACCATTGAGATGTTTAGAGATCATAAACTATTTTATGCTTGTCCATTGCTTTATATATATGTACTCTTTAATTTTCGAAGGCTTAGTATGAACTAAGAGTTCATTTCCTTATGTTAAGTTGTATAAATTATAGATAGGTCCCCAAATGAGTTCTTAAGAACTAATGATGTCATCTACAGATAATAGTAATATTTTTGACTGGTTTGGGGTGGCCCTGTTTGGCTGCAACAGTGTTAGATCTTCCAGTGGTGGTAACTCTTATTTGGAAATCCCTATCTCAGTATTGTTGGTATTTTAAAAGTTAAATTTCTATTGTATAATGCTATTAGGTATTTTTATTTTATGGGCTACTATATTTCATCAATTTTAAGACACACTTTTCAAATTTTACTATCTCTGAAACTGGGATGCATGTTATAATTGATACAACTTAAAATTATAATTGACAGTGTTCTACTTGTTTAGTGGCAACATTAAAATAATGATTAAAAATATTATTTCTTTTGATGGTGTTTTGGATTCAGTGAAATAACGGAATTCACATGGTGGGAAAATAATCTTTTATCACAGAAATTAACTTTGAAAATATCTTAATGATAAAAAAAATTAATATAAGTAATGACATGATCTGACCACATAATATGGTTAGTAGTAACAGCATTATTCTTGGAAGACGAAAAGAAAGTTGTGGGGAATTTTGTATATATACTGTGAAATTGACTTTCTCCTTTCTCCCAAAGTCCACAGAATCTTAATCAGAGAATGGATGTTTTTTATTTGCAACCAGAATGCTCTAGTTCTACAGATAGCCCTGTCTGGTACACATCTACTTCACTGGACCGAAACACCTTGGAAAATATGCTTGTACGGGTTCTTTTAGTAAAAGATATTTATGATAAAGACAATTATGAACTGGACGAAGACACAGACTAAAAAGGAACGTTTCAGAAGCAATCGGGATAAAACAGCATTAGATAGTCATGCTGCTAGATCTTTATTATGGAAAACATTTCAAGTTTACTCCTTCTGTTTTGAGTTTTGTAGCAGTGTACCCACACTGGGTATTACCATGTAAATAATCTGTGAGTGAAAGTTGCCATTATTCTATGTAGTGGTTTTAGGATACTTAACAAATACATTCAAATTCTTTTTTTATTATTTATTTGATTAGGTATGTTTGTAACTTTTTACATTACAAAATACGAATGAGAATGTGCCATGTATAATTTTTTTCTTGTAGTAAGAAACATCCATATTGCACAACTCTACTGTTGCAAAGCTTCCTTGAAAGGAGGCTCTTTTACTGGGTTCTTTACCAGATGGTTGTGTATGGGTAGCACTACTAAAAGTTTAGAACTTGCAGTGTCTTTCCGAATTTTTAAAATAAACTGTAAACTAATAGGCTGGGTTTTTTGTTTTGTTTTTTGGGGGTTTTGTTTGTTTGTTTTACGTTTTAGTTACTGAAGCCTTACAAGGTTATGTAGAGAGATACCATCTTCTGTACCAAAAATAGACAAGAGAATGCTGTCGATATTGGTGTACTGTAATGTGAATCTATACTGGTGAAAACAACTTTTTGTTCCCCTTATTAAAACCTTAGTGTCCTTTTCTCATTTGTGGCTTTCTGCATCACCCCAGTCAATAATATATATATATATATATATATGTGTGTGTATATATATATATGTATGTATATATGTGTGTGTATATATATATATATATATATGAAGAATGATGTTGAAAACATGATCATTGAGACATTTTCTTTGTAAAAATGTCCAATGAAAGTACAAAATTCTGTTTTCTGTGCCAACCATAAGTATCCAAAATCCCATTCATTTATAGAAGTTTGATTTTTCTTTTTTCCCCTTAAAGATACAGATCATGTTGTAGTATCTGAGTAGTACTCTAAAACTTTACCAACTTTATTAGGATTTTTATATTGCCTTCAAATATGACTGATGGATACATTGGATAAAATTATTTTTAGAGATGCCGCTCCTAAAATAGTTGTTACAGAAGGTCGATCAAGTTTAAATAAGAGAGTATCACATTTTTACTATGAAGATTACCAGTGTAGTGATTCTGATATTTCAGATGATTGAAGAACAAAGAAAGAAACTGATGGATAAAGTCTATCTCAAAGGAAATCACATTTGATGTTAGATTGTTTGGCTTTTAAAATTACTTCTTATAGAAGATAAAAGCATTTTAAAACTTTGTGCTTCTGCATAGCAATTTATCTGTTTAGACCTTTTCTTTTAGAATAAGGAAGTTTACTTAAAATCCTACTTGATAGAGACTGAGCAAAATGCTGGCTGCAAATTATTATAAAGAAAGCATTTGGCTGACTTCATAGAGCATGTATGTAATCATATTGTTTTGTTTCTAATTCCTGACTCACCATGGTGACATTAGTTTTTTAAAATTGTTGCGGGGGGTGGGGGGGGCGGAATTTGGGCTATTTTCCACAGTGATTAGGCAACGTCTACACATCCCTTAGGTATTTCTCCTTTGCTTAGGATAAATGTTAGCATTCAGAAGAAATTTTCTCAATCATGATATAGAAAAATTCACAAGTATAATCACTGTATTTTAAAGCAATAATTATCAGAAATGGTTTTGGCATAAAATTACTTTATAATGTCCTAATTTGTTTTATAAGTTTTGAATAACATACCTGTCCCTTAATTTTATATTTGTTGATTTCATAATCACACAGCAAATCTGATATTACTTTACTAAAATAGATTGCTCATTGTCTATTTAATTCAGAAAACTGGGTAACATTTAAAATATATACTATAAAAATTTCCTCACACTTAACCTTTTTCCAGAAGTACTTTAAGCACTTTTCCTATAAATGCATATTGTTGATTAAAAGGTGGTTAATCCTAGCCATCTTTTATTCTTCACAGTGGTGCTATATTCCATCAAGAGCAATAACGTTTTCCCCAAATGTCACTTAATGTTTATTCTCCCAAATACCATACATTTCTGCCGCGGTGCTGTTAAGCACCTTGCCTGGCTATTTACATCTCCTTTATTGTACATTAGCTTTTCTAAACAGAAATGTCTACATAATTTTGATCTCGACATGATTGAGGATTTAGAGCTCTTGTTTTTGTCTTGAATGCAATCCAAGGATTAACTTGACTCTCAGGGGGAAAAGAAAAACAAAACTTTATAAGAATTGTTTGTTCTGTGAAACTTATTTCACCTAGAATACATTTCATTGGTTCCTGGATGTCCTTAGTTTTTGTGGTCATAGCTGACTGCTGAGAAAAAGGACAGTGAAATGGTAGCAGTTTATTTTTGCTTCTTAGTGATTTCTGTTTATAGCATCCTGTAAATATAACTTTATTGTCTTTAGATGTCTATTGGAGATGCTATATTTTTTTGTTCTGAAGGTTTTGCCATTTAAAATGAATCAAAGTTTTTATTCCTATTGAGAAAAGTGAATTTCCCATGCAAATTGAATCTTCATTAACACAGTTTTTAGGTTTTAAACTGTATTAGGTAATATAAGACATTAAAAGATTTTTCTAGGCAAGAAGCTCAACTTTTTTTTTTTTTTTTTTTTTTGGCATAAAAATATTACACAAGTTGTCACCAGTGTGTTAAACATCTTGAGACAGGAAAGAAGAAGATGCATATTGTACTGCGCATTCAAACTTTTGTCACTGTTTTTCTGATGGAATTTCCCTTTGTCCTGGCCAATATGGAATGGGTGACTCATTTATGGGATAATCTGGAAATGAGATAAACTCATTTATGCATAGCATGAAGGTTTACAGTAATGGAGAAGTCAAAATTGCAAATTTTTGGTTTGTACTACTCTAATGTGGGTTCATTTTGTCTGAAATCTTAAATACCATGCAGTCTTAAATCACTATAAAAATTTACACTTTTATTTTGCCAGTTATTTCCAAAATGTATTGTTTTACATATGTCACTTATGTTCTAAGTTACCACTGACTGTAGGATAATGTCCTTGTTCCCCTCAAACAAAATAGTCATGAAAGTGTACATTAAAATATTTTTAAAGAATAAATTTCTTTAACTAAATTATAATACTTTTGGATTTCCCCCCTTAATAAGCCCCTTTCTCATTTTTAGAGAAGTTATTTGAATTTCAGTTATTCCATTTTACTATGTTTTTAGGAATAGACCATTTTTAATACTGTTTTCCAGTGTTAAGTACTTTTTATTGTTTCTGGGTTTATCATACTTGAAAATGATACTACTAACAATATCTTATAAATATAGCAGTTGATGTCCAGAACAGGTTAACTGCATCGGTCTGGGTTTGAGAGTAGAGGCATTTAAAGTGATGTTTCAATTTGTACTATTTTTTTTTTCTTAGAAGCTACATATTAGACACCCCAAATACGTTACTGTGATTCCTTGCCTTATGGTGAACTGGACAAGAGAAAGTCGTTCTTAAAATCTGGGCAGATGGTGTCCTAATTCATTACTGAGTTAAACAAGGTCATGAATTTAGGCCTTTGGAGGAAAAAGAACCAAAGAGAAGCTAAGATTTATTCTGTAAATAAAGAATTAAGAATAGAACCAAAGAGAGGGCCACAGACCGTTGGGTCTAGAATTGGAGGTCTTTGTATCTTTGAAGGAAGGCAGGTGTAAATCCTAACTGAGCGTATTTTATTTTCTATTGTAGTGCAGTGAAAAGAATAATTACAGCTCTTTCTGAGACTTTCAGCTGCATACTTGATTCTGATTGGACCTCAGTTTCTTTATCTGTAAAATGAAGGTATTGCCTTAATTTCTGATTCTGGAGTTTCAAATTAAGCATAGTTGATACATGGCTTAAGAGGCTTAGTAGTAAATCTTACAGATTTATGTTTGAAGCCTTATGATTTATTTAGAAACACATTTTCTTGGAGGGGAAAGATCTTTCCTAAAATAGACTTAACACAGGCTGTGTCATACCTGATTTTTATAAGTCCTATTCAAGTAACTCCTCAGAAGAAAACTCAGCGTAATGAAACTTAAGTTTTGTTATAAAACTTAGGGGCGCCTGGGTGGCGCAGTCGGTTAAGCGTCCGACTTCAGCCAGGTCACGATCTCGCGGTCCGTGAGTTCGAGCCCCGCGTCGGGCTCTGGGCTGATGGCTCAGAGCCTGGAGCCTGTTTCCGATTCTGTGTCTCCCTCTCTTTCTGCCCCTCCCCCGTTCATGCTCTGTTTCTCTCTGTCCCAAAAATAAATAAACGTTGAAAAAAAAAATTAAAAAAAAAAAAAACAAAAAACTTAAACAGTGGATCTTCATTACATATTTCCTTTGTGCCAAAGAACTATTGTCAACCATGGTAGTTAAGGAGGAAGAGAAAGTAAAAGATTAAAAAGACATTAGTGTTGCAATTATGGGTTGTGAACAAGATGTACTGTTGTATGTATATTTAACTCCTAGGGAATATAGAATATAGTCATGATAGTTTACAACACAGAACACTGTGTACACTCAGAAACCCTAAAAAGCTTTTATGTTCTAGAGTAGGTTTCATAGCATTACCACCACGTGTAATTATATAAAACATTGGATTCCTGTAACGTTCTTGATGGTGCTTTTAGCTCTGTTTAAAATGGCCAGTGGCACAATTTCTGACTGTTTTGATGACACCAGTCTTCATCTCTGGCTTTCAGGCCAACTCATTACAAGAGTAGTTAAATATAGCACCCAAAGGAAAAGCTTAGAGTACCTTCATCATGCATTAGAGAGGATTCTAAAAGGTGTTAAACCACATTGAATCAAGGTGAGTAATTCAACTTGTAGGTTATGTTATATGGATGGAAGGAACACACAAGGTGCAATATATTAAGGATATTTGTTTAAAACTTCATCCACTAAGGATTTTTTTTCATAAATGCTTTTGGAAATAAAACTTCTCAAATATTTTCTAAATCTTGGATGTACT